ATTGGTAAACATTTTTTTGTTGTTCGGATATCTATTATATTTATGTGGATCAATCTGCTGTGTGGGTGCACTAAGTTAATCTGCCACCTAACACATGATCAGGTTTTGATTGAACAGTATGTATGAAGAAACGCTTTCATGAATGAAATGGTTTTGATCATGCCAAATGTTTACAGTCATCTGTTCAAATGTTTACATAGTGCAATCATCTGTTTAAATGTTTACAGTCATCTGTTCAAATGTTTACATAGTACAATCGTCTATTTAAATGTTGACTGCCATGTTCTCCTTACGAAAGTGATTTAGTTCAAATTTTAGGTCAATGATTATAAAAGCTCTATTTTGTATGTAATTGTTAAAAAATTGTGTGTAATTTGTATTAATTTTTGTTAACATGTAAACAATTTGAAAGCTACAAGTTACAATATGTTACAAGAGTATTGAAGTTTCCCTATAAATAAATAAGAGAATATAAACATTGATTATATATAACAGTGGTAGAAAATGTTAACTGAATTCAATGGCAACCAGATTTGCTCAGGCAAATGTAGACATATTTGTTTATCAGTCAAAATGATTGGTGATAATGGTAAAATGGTAGCATATTTTAGATTAGTCAACATAACCAAGTCTAAAGGAACATCTTAGTAAAAGAAATAAAGAAATTATAAAGTAATAATAAAGTAATGATAAAGTAATAATAAATTAATTAATTTCAGGATGTTTTGAAGATTTTGACATCAGGTGGCAGACAATCCCTTGTTGAAAAAAACAATAGACAAAAAATAAACTTGCGGTCTTTAGATCTTGGTAATGCCATCTCTAAAAGGGTAATGCCATCTCTAAGATAGCCCCTCTCTAGGGTAATGCCATCTCTAAAGTGGTAATGCCACATCTAAGATAGCCCCTTTATGTACTTAAATGTGGCAGGTGTTGTTGGAATTTTCATTACATCAATGTCATACTGCCTAGAGACCTCCATCTCCAGGTTTGATTTCAGATTACCGGTATTCCTTCTCTTAGATGAGTTGCCATCCAAATGTAGAAAGATGCACTCTATGTGATTGGTCATTTTAAAACCAAATTTCTTTTTCCACTAATTGTCCGGTGGCTTGCTGTTTTAATCAGGTTTTGTTTTTAAATGCATTTTAAACAAGTTTGCGTCCATAATCAAAAGTAAAATGGCTCAAGTGTCATAGTTTCTTCCATGACAAAACTTCATACAATCTGATGTCATAGTTCCATACATTGTGATGTCATAGCTGTAAACATTGCGATGTCATAGCTAATTTGACATGTCTGCCATACCTGGTTACTTTGACATGTTTGCCATGCCTGGTTACTTTGAAATGTCTGCCATGCCTTGTTACTTATGTCTGCCATGCCTTGTTACTGTGACATGTCTGCCATGCCTGGTGACTTTGACATGTCTGCCATGTCCGGTTACTCTGACATGTCAATTAAGTGATCTTTATTTATGTGAAGATGGCTTAGAATTAAAGTGTCATGGTGTTCAACATGTTGCGTCTGTTGGTTTTTCCTCTTATCAAGCTGCCTCAGTGAGTACAACTCTATCAATTACCGTCATTTAAGACGGTACTGACATTTGTCATAGACCTATAACAGGGTTACAACTTTGGCAAAGCATTGGATGATAACATTAACAATGACAGTCGTGTGTTTAATGTTTTCCGGTTTACCACTGGCTTAGTGTCCAAGTAGTTTGCACCTCTTAAAAACGTAATTTTAATCTCTAAAGAAAAGATTGGGCTAGGGTGGGGGGGGGGGGGGGCTGGGTTTGCCATAAAAATTCAAGTTGTGTCAGGAAATCCACTCAAATATGGCTTAGTGTCCAAGTAGTTTGCACCTCTTAAAAACGTAATTTTAATCTCTAAAGAAAAGATTGGGCTAGGGTGGGGGGGGGGGGGGCTGGGTTTGCCATAAAAATTCAAGTTGTGTCAGGAAATCCACTCAAATGCTTATATAAGTGAACACACATTAATATATAGGATGCAGTCATGCAGAATTTGTGCATAAATGCACCAAGACAGCCCCCCACCCCCTGCTGTATGCTACATCTTAAAAATCAAGACCTCCCTACAATATATACGTAATGGATGGATGGAACATACGTGATCAGTGGGTCTCAACCTTCCTCTTTAATACAGTTCCTCATGTTGTAGTGACCCTCAGCATAACAATACTTTCGTTGCTACTTCATAAATATGTATTTTCCGATGTTCTTAGACGACCCATGTGTAAGGGTCGTTCGACCCTCAAAGGGGTCGCGACACATAGGTTGAAAACCACTGTACCAGATGGAAGGAACAAAAATTTTCATGTCCACTAAAGTATTGTTGAATATAATTAGCCCAGCTTACAGCATACTTGACAGGCAGAACGTCACAACTTTTAAAAATAAAGTTTCACTTAGGGCCACAGACAACAACACTTAAGACAATCTCAGAGGATGGTCAGAATTGTTGGGAATTGTCTATTAATATCCTGGACAAGCAACGTTGCTTTTGCAGCATTTCAGCAATAAAGTCAATATAAAAGAAGCAATGGTTTGTGGGCGGCAAATCCTACAGACTCTTGTCCACAGAGCATTTCCCATTTTGGTAAATGCATTTAGGCGCCATTACGCAGATGTGATAAAACACATTCATTCTCTTCAGAAGAGCTCAAGGAGGCTACATCTCCTCTGTGATTACGTAAAAGTAAGTTTGATCAAATCTAGTTTGGAAATCATTGTCTCCAATGTAGTTAATCATATAGGAAATCAGTGTCAGTAATGCAGTTAATCATTTAAGAAATCAGTGTCACCAATGCAGTTAAATCATTTAGGAAATCATTGCCACATGGATGACACTCTGCAAGTTGAAGCTTAACGAGGACAAAACGGAAGCACTCCTTATTTACGATCACACATCATCCTCTAACTCAGCTCTCCCCACCTCATTTCATGGAGGTAACTCTGACATACAGTTTACATTCTCCGCCAGGAATCTTGGTTATATTATGTCTAACAAAATGTCTCTTGATAATCATATCTCCTACATTTGTCGCTCTGCATACACCGCCATTCGTCAGATAACTCCATCCATCTTACAGTTGGTGCAACAAAAACCCTAGTCTATGCTCTTGTTCTCTCTCGTCTTGACTTTTGTAACTCTCTTCTATCAGGTTCACCAAAAAACTTCATTGAAAAATTACAAAATGTTTAAAACTCTGCTTCAAGGCTAATTCTAAAGGCAAAAAAAAAAAACAAACAAAAAAAACCGTGATCACGTCATACCACTACTTCATTCACTTCATTGGCTCCCTGTGCAAGCACGGATTGACTTCAAAGTCTATATTCTCTGCCACAAATTTTTCTCGCATTCCTCCCCTTCCTATCTAACCGAACTACTCACTGTCTATTCACTCCTTCGACAGCTTCGCTCCTCCGCAGAAGCGCGTATTCTTTCTGTCTCAAAGACTCGCACAAAAACATACGGTGAACGATCGTTCTCTTTCTGTGCCACCAAACAATGGAATTCTCTTCCATTACACATCCGCAAAGTACCGACCGTCACAGCCCTCAAAACTGCACGCAAAACCTATCTTTTCAAACTCTACTATTCTGACTGATTTCCCCCTCTGACCAAATAAACGAGGCTGCTGGGTAGCCTCCCATGGCTTGACATGTAAATAATTCTTGATTGTATTGAGTGAATATACATTTGTTTTGTTTTGTTTAAATAATGTATGTTAATTTTTAAGTTCATGATTATGTTTGTTAAATTGTATGTACAGCATGGTTGGTGTGCCCAGCCCTATGCTGGGGTACCGCGCTATATAAAACACCAATAATAATAATAATAATAATCATTTATGTTATATGGCTGAATAGATTGTTTCGTTTTCAATTTTTTTAAATATCTTCATTTATCTTATATTAAAGGGTGTTATGTCTTTTTAATTATATATATTTACCGGCGTATTATTAGCTTGACATTATATTCATTGACATTGAATAGACATTGAACCTTCACAATCAGAGAGTACTAGAAAGAGGATTGACAATACTTGATGTCAGAACAGAGAGATGGACTTGATTTGTCGTACTGGGTCAATACTGTGTTTGAACCTAAATGTCTTTTCAGGCTGTTTACGTGAGAAAATAATTATACCATTTTTCACAGTATAAAAATTGTGCTTTCGACCAATCACGTGACCAGCCTGAAAAAACGTGCCTTAAAATTCAGTAATTAGAGGAGCAGAAATGTTCCTTGTTAATTTCCTTTTAATATTTAACAACAACTATTTAGGTTATGGCTATGGGGGAGCCATTGAAGTGTCTACGCAAAATTCAGCAAGTGAAGCAGCACCCATTGAGTTTGATAGTCAAACACTTGTTATTGTTAAGAAGACATGCTATACTGCTATTTGAAATTATTACATTGAGAGAAAAGATAATTAGTTCTACTTGATCTCAATATTATATTTACTCCCCAGATTATTTCTCGACACATTATTGCTCCCCATAATATTGCTCCCCAGAGAATTGCTACCCAGATTATTACTCCACGATGACAGATTAATACTCCACATATGACAGAGGATTACTCCCCAGAAAATTACTCCCCATATGATTGTTCCCCAGAGGATTACTTCCCAGGTGATTGTTCCCCAGAGGATCTCTCCCCAAAGGGCCACCCCCCCCCCTCAAATTCTGTTGCAATCACAGAATACGAACTGGAAGAAAACTGTCATGATACAAATATTAAAATAATTTCAAAATGTATTCACTGACAAGATAGTTACTCACTTTGTCGTCATCTTTTCTCTGTCTTGGGTTTCAAACAATCTGATCGTCTGCCCATGCGTGTGCACAATTGTTATATTTTTTTTTTTAAAACTACCACATCATTTTTAAATTATTTATTTTTAAAAAGAAAATTTGAAGGAAAAGCAACAAAAAAAAAAAAAACAAAAAAAAAAAAAAAAAACCTTCTTCCGATCATTTAAGGTTCAAATATGTTTAATGTTTGCCTTACCATACACAAAAAGTACATACTGCATCCTTATTCATGTTCACGTTTGCTACAACTAACGAAAGCTCAATGCCATCAAACATCCACATTTTTGCTTTTCATGTTCAAGAAATGAAATGCCCCAAACAAAGCAGACGTATCATGACGTGTAGACTGTCGTAGCAGACGATGACATCATGTACGCAGGGACGTCATTTCAGGGGTTTTTCCTCGGCGGAAGTGGGGGGGGGGGGTCAAAATAAAAACTTGGTCAGCTTGTTTAGTTGTTTATCACTTTAGGCGCCCCAAAGTAATTTCAATAAAATCTGCAAATTGACGGCGTGGGGGAAGGGGGAGATTTCCCCACCCAAATGGTGTCCCCTGCAGATGACATCATGTACGCAGGGACGTCATTTCAGGGGTTTTTCCTCGGCGGAAGTGGGGGGGGGGGTCAAAATAAAAACTTGGTCAGCTTGTTTAGTTGTTTATCACTGTAGGCGCCACAAAGTAATTTCAATAAAATCTGCAAATTGACGGCGTGGGGGAAGGGGGAGATTTCCCCACCCAAATGGTGTCCCCTGCATGTACGAGTATTGTATTAGTACTTCCTGGAGTGTTGTTGTTTATCACACCATTGGCCTTTGGTCACACCATTGGCCTTTGGTCACACCATTGGCCTTTGATCACGTCATTAGCCTTTGATCACACCATTGGCCTTTGATCACACCATTGGCCTTTGATCACACCATTGGCCTTTGATCACACCATTGGCCTTTTTTCTTCAGAGTGTTCGCGATCTGTGCTGCAGATTTCTGAAGGGCTCCTAACGTGAAGCGTCCGTCCGTTGTTCTTGCTGTTCTCCCATATGGACACTCTTCTAAGGGGTAGACAAATAAGTCCGCTCAAGGTCAGGGTCACGCCTGCCAGGTAGAACGCGGCGTTGTAGTTGCCAGTGACGTCAGACATGGCCCCTGTCAAGAGAGTTGTAAGATCATAAGAAACTGAATAATACCATCATCAAAGTCAGCTTTATGGGACATGTACTATAAATAGCCCCGTGGCGGCAACTATGAACAAACATCCACTCAACTAATACTCAAGTTACTTGGCAATACACGCATTCAAGTAACACACAATATAATAATCATAATTAACTTTATTTTGAGTGACGATTGAACCCAGCGTTGCGTCTATACATACACCTTGAACCCACCGTTACAGCCATACATGCACATTAAACCCAGCATTACACCCATACACACACCTTGACCACAGCCTTACAGCCGTACATATACCTTGACCACAGCCTTACACCCATACATACACCTTGACCACAGCCTTACAGCCATACATACACCTTGACCACAGCCTTACACCCATAAATACACCTTGACCACTGCCTTACACCCATACACACACCTTGACCACAGCCTTACACCCATACACACACCTTGACCACAGCCTTACACCCATACATACACCTTGAACCCACGTTACAGCCATACATACACCTTGAACCCACGTTACAGCCATACATACACATTGAACCCACGTTACAGCCATACATACACCAAGAGAATTATTATTTTTGATGGTTAAGAAACAAGACAATGATTGATACAACTGAGCTAGAAATGCTACATGTCATTAAGTTCCTACCAGCAACTGGTGCCCCTAAGAACGACGACATTCCCTGGCACATTATCACGAAGCCAAACGCCGTGGTCAACTTCTCCAAGCCCATCAGTTCCACCATGATGATTGACCGCAGGGACACAAACACGGCTGGATGGATTAGAGACGTTCAAACCTTCATGTAAAACTTCTAAAAACTAAAAGATCCGAATAGAGTGGACCACTTAACATCACAAACAGAACTTACCGTACGGCACTCAAAGAACGTATGTAGACTATAGACTAAATTATTCATACTGTCTCTTAGTGAACTTTCTAAAGTACTATGCTTAATAAAATATTTAGATTGTAGACTAGATTATTCACACGATCTTGTAGTGAACATTTCTAAAGTACCATGTGTAAAAATATATGTAGGATATAGACTAGATCAGTGGTTCTTAACCTGGATTCGGTGAGTCAGACTCAGGGTTTCGGCGGAGGTCTAAAATAAATCAGGAAAAAAAAAATCAGATTTTATTTTTCCTATTAAGAAGGGTTCGGTGAATGCGCATATGAAACTGGTGGGGTTCGGTTCCTCCAAAAAGGTTAAGAACCACTGGACTAGATTATTCAAACGGTTTTGTAGTGAACTTTCGTAAGTATCTTGTATAAGAATGTACAAAATGAGTATCAGTATAATGCTGACTCACCTATTGCAGTCCCGAAAACACACGAGTAGATGGCTAGGAGGTAGTACTCATTATAGAATGGCACAAAGACAGTGGCTACCCCACCAACTATAAGTGCTATGTTGTTGATCATAAGGCAATCGGCCCACGGCTAAATTAAAATAATTGAAGAAAAGAGGAATTCACCATTAACTTTTTGAATGAATTGTGGACTATAAATAGTGTACAATAAAAAGTAGACTATAAACAGTGGACTATAAATAGTGGACTATAAATAGTGTAAGTGTAATCCAGGGATTTCCACCAAAGGATCAAAGGTTAAATTTCAGTGCATACGATGAAAAGGGATTTTTTTACGTTTTAAAGGATCCCCCCCTCCCCCCCCCCCCAAACGTTAAAACACATTCTTACTTTTACAAAAAGGGGTTTTTTTTACTTTTAAAGGGACCCCCCCCCCCCCCCCCCCCCAAACGTTAAAACACATTCTTACTTTTACAGTGGTTGGGAAAAGTTTGGAAACCCTTGGTGGCCATGGACAATTCACGCATGAATGCCCTCAAAGCTGGATACTGATAGTACGGGGTAATTTGGTAATTTTTAAATAAACCTGAGACATTCAATGCATTATTTACTGCAGAACTGTGACAGTAGACGTGAGACCTGCACTTTTGTGAGCCACGCTGACAACCGAGTATCTATGTAGGTCACGTGAGAGAAACAAATTACCGTCCACAGATACCAGGAGTAGTTTGTACTTCTTAATAAATCTATTGAAATAACAAACAATTCTAAGAATTACAAGAAAAATGTATTTGAATCAAAAATAGACGATACTGTACAAAGGCGAAGCGTACCTGGTCAGATATAAAGCCTACCGCCACCCTCCCCACGGTGTTGGTGACGCCTATGATGGAGATCAGGAATGCGCCTCTTGTTGAATCCATTCCCAGGTCGATAGCGTGAGTGGGCAGGTAGATGAACGGGACAAAGAATCCTGGCCAAATGAAAAAGTGTTATAACTTAAGAGGTCGAGATGAGGTATTGATGACATCACAACTATAGGCTAGATGACTTATTGATGACTTCAAACTACCTAGAGGAGGATTTGATGAGTTAAAAAAACTATAGGCTAGATGGGTTATTGATGACATCACAAGTATAGGCTAGATGAGTAATTGATGACATCGCAACTAGCTAGGTGACTTATTGATGACTTCACAACTAGCTAGATGAGGTATTGATAACTTCAAAACTAGCTAGATGACGTATTGATGACTTCACAACTAAGTAGATGAGGTATTGATGACATCACAACTAGCTAGTTGAGGTATTCATGACATCACAACTAGCTAGATGAGGTATTGATGACATCACAATTAGCTAGATGAGGTATTGATGACATTACAACTAGCTAGATGAGGTAATGATAACTTCACAACTGGCCAGATGACGTATTGATGACTTCACAACTAGCTAGATGAGGTATTGATGACTTCACAACTATAGGCTAGATGGGTTATTGATGACATCACAAGTATAGACTAGATAGGTTATTGATGAATCACAACTAGCTAGATGAGGTATTGATGACTTCACAACTATAGACTAGAGAGGTTATTGATGACTTCAGAAATACCTAGATGACTTACTGATGACTTCAAAACTAGCTTCGATTCAGACGATAAATGATGATTCTAAAAAAGTATCCGTTATCAAATTAAGACATGTATTTGTGTCTCCTCAAAGAACTAAGTCTTAAAACTAAGACATTTAGTTGTTCTGTCTCCTCAAAGAACTAAATTATCAAACTAAGACATGTAGGCGTGTCTCCTCAAAGAGCTACTGTTCCGCACCCAACCCCCTGTTACAAACACATGACTATCGAGCATTGCTTTAGGCTAGAAATACCAGCTGCAATCAACAAAACTCACAAACATACGATAGAATACAAACATGTTTGCTCTACCTACCAGCCACAAACATACGATGGAATACAAACATGTTTGCTCTACCTACCAGCCACAAACATACGATGGAATACAAACATGTTTGCTCTACCTACCAGCCACAAACATACGATGGAATACAAACATGTTTGCTCTACCTACCAGCCACAAACATACGATGGAATACGAACATGTTTGTGCTACCTACCAGCCACAAACATACGATGGAATACAAACATGTTTGCTCTACCTACCAGCCATGCACAAAAAACATGAAAGTCCGTACATCAAAAAAGTCGGACTACGGAGCAGAGATAGATCAAAAACGCTCTTCAAGGCCCGGAGAAACTTGCCTACACCAGTCACTGGGAGCTTTGCGTTGGACGGATGTGACGTCATCTCCTCACGAAATTCTTCAAGTGATCCAAGTTTTCTGATTGGACAAAATATAATCGAAAGACAATCACGCTAGTGGCTCAATATATAAGTGTGCTACTTTGCTTCATGGTCAGTATCTTCATTAACATGAGATTTGCAACAAACATGAGATTAGCAACAAACATGAGATTAGCAACAAACATGAGATTAGCAACACCCATGAGATTAGCAACAAACATGAGATTAGCAACACCCATGAGATTAGCAACAAACATGAGATTAGCAACAAACATGAGATTAGCAACAAACATGAGATTAGCAACAAACATGAGATTAGCAACAAACATGAGATTAGCAACACCCATGAGATTAGCAACAAACATGAGATTAGCAACAAACATGAGATTAGCAACACCCATGAGATTAGCAACAAACTTGACATTAGCAACAACCATGAGATTAGCAACACCCATGAGATTAGCAACACCCATGAGATTAGCGACAAACATGAGCAACAAACATGAGATTAGCAACAAACATGAGATTAGCAACAACCATGAGATTAGCAACACCCATGAGATTAGCGACAAACATGAGCAACAAACATGAGATTAGCAACAAACATGAGATTAGCAACACCCATGAGATTAGCAACACCCATGAGATAAGCGACAAACATGAGCAACAAACATGAGATTAGCAACAAACATGAGATAAGCAACAAACATGAGATTAGCAACAAACATGAGATTAGCAACAAACATGAGATTAGCAACAAACATGAGATTAGCAACACCCATGAGATTAGCAACAACCATGAGATTAGCAACACCCATGAGATTAGCGACAAACATGAGCAACAAACATGAGCAACAAACATGAGATTAGCAACAAACATGAGATTAGCAACAACCACGAGATTAGCAACACCCATGAGATTAGCAACACCCATGAGATTAGCGACAAACATGAGATTAGCAACAACCATGAGATTAGCAACACCCATGAGATTAGCAACACCCATGAGATTAGCGACAAACATGAGCAACAAACATGAGATTAGCAACAAACATGAGATTAGCAACACCCATGAGATTAGCAACACCCATGAGATTAGCAACACCCATGAGATTAGCGACAAACATGAGCAACAAACATGAGATTAGCAACAAACATGAGATTAGCAACAAACATGAGATTAGCAACACCCATGAGATAAGCGACAAACATGAGCAACAAACATGAGATTAGCAACAAACATGAGATTAGCAACAAACATGAGATTAGCAACAAACATGAGATTAGCAACAAACATGAGATTAGCAACAAACATGAGATTAGCAACAAACATGAGATTAGCAACAAACATGAGATTAGCAACAAACATGAGATTAGCAACAAACATGAGATTAGCAACAAACATGAGATTAGCAACAAACATGAGATTAGCAACAAACATGAGATTAGCAACAAACATGAGATTAGCAACAAACATGAGATTAGCAACAAACATGAGATTAGCAACAAACATGAGATTAGCAACACCTGAACAAAACAAAACAATCAGAAATTTTGGAAACTAAACAAGTGAACAAATACGATGTGTCCCATAATGCTCTTTCCCTCTCTCATCATGTTCTTTGCCATCATCCCACCCAGCGAAATTTCCAAACCTCTCACTCAGTACTATTTCCCACCATCCCATGAGTATTATTTCCCACCCTCCAATGAGTACTATTTCCCACCCTCCCATGAGTACTACTTCCCACCTTCCCATCAGTACTATTTCCAAACCTCTCATTAGAACTATTTCCCACCCCCCATGAGTTTTATTTTGCACCCTCTCATGAGTACTATTTCCCACCCTCTCATGAGTGCCCTTTTCCACCCTCCCATGAGTGCTATTTCCCACCCTCCCATGAGTGCTATTACCCATCCTCCCATGAGTACTATTTCCCACCTTCCAAGTCAGCGCTCTTTCACTCGTCCAACGTACACAGAAACCAACACACAAACACACACACATACAAACGAATACTTACGCACGGACGTACACACAACACACACAAATTCAACATACACACAAACCTGCGTAAACATAGTACACACACAAACGCATACATACACACACATATAACCCACTTGAACTCTTGAAGATGCCACAAGCTACCGCTGTAAAAAATATCTTTCCGCTCCATTGGTTGTTCCACCTCATGGCGTTTGACCCTGTGAACTTTGTTGAGCACCCCGAAGTCGTGGCTGTACGCCAGGCGTGCCAGGGCCGGACCATCTTTGACTTTGATGTTCCCCGATTGTGGGGGGTGCAAGGTCATTGAACTGAAACGGTAATGTGTCCGATAAATCATTGTTGGAATTTTTTAAAGTTAAATACTAGTAATAGTTTTAAGAATAGCAATGGATTATTAACTTAAAACTAATTACAAGAACAGCAATGTAATGACACTCGGAAGGCAAACAAAAGCTACATTAGTTTCAAACAGTAACATGATTTGTGTATTCTTCCCACATGTTTAACTTTATTAATAAAAAATACATTGACAATCGTCCCTAGTTTATCGCGGTTAATCAGTTCCTGACTCTACCGCCATAAGTGAATTTCCGCGAAGTAGGATTCTTCACTTCTGAATCGAATATGTTCGTAGTTAGAGCATAGAGAACCTCTTCACAGCCTCTTAATACCCATGTGCTATCTGGGGTTGCAAGAGAGTAATCTCAAACCCTCCTCAGAATGCGCCTTCTTAGTTAGTTGTGGCAGATAAAAATGGGAAAAATAATGGCTGGTAAGGATGGTAAAATGTCCAACAATGGGGCCAGCTAGGCTGATCATTCGGGTGAGGAAGAGAATCGTAATCGCATTTTCGTTAGGAACAAAAACGTTCATCTGTAGCCGATCAAGAATTAAAAGTCTACCGTGGTCAGCAGCATAAAGCCAAACGTGATCGGCACTGAAAAGTCTACTTTGATCAGCAATACAATTTCTACCGTGATCGGCAGCATAAAGCCAAACGTGGTCAGCAGCATAAAGCCAAACGTGATCGGCACTGAAAAGTCTACTGTGATCAGCAATACAATTTCTACCGTGATCGGCACTGAAAAGTCTACCGTGGTCAGCAGCATAAAGCCAAACGTGATCGGCACTGAAAAGTCTACTGTGATCAGCAATACAATTTCTACCGTGATCGGCAGCAAAAAGTCTACCGGGATCAGCAGGAAAAAGTCTAACGTGATCAGCAGCAAAAAAGTTTACCGTGATCAAGCCACTGGACTCACTGTCAAAATATGACAAAAGTTGGGCACCCTGACAAAAGATGGCTCAATTCTCCCACATGTCAATCAAATCATCTACGCCCCTGAGATATAATATTACAAAATAAAGGATGGAAACAAAAATTATGACAAATGTATTGTTATTCTGAGAATGCTATTTCTTGTATTATAAAATATATCAATATCTAAGTTTAAAAATGAATGTGTCAGTAAGTACCTTGTCCTGTGCTCTGGTTTCAGCTTCGGCTCCGCCTTCAAGTGTTCATAAATCTGCTCTTTGAGTTTCTTGCTGATGCTTGAGCTGGTCTTGTCAGGGCCCTTGAAAAACCAGAGCTAAACGTCATAGGTCACCTCTTGACCCACATGACCCCTACCACCCCATGACTAACTTAAGCCATGACCTTCTATAACTTTTTTTTTCTTTATACTTGGGGGAAAATTTCAGACAAGCGCCTATCTTTGGATACGCTACTGCATTGACACAGCTCCGCTTGCGTCTATCCCTGACTACGCCACTGCATTGATTCCACTACGTTTGCAACTGTCCCTGGCTACGCCACGCCATTGAAACCATCACGCTCGAACATCATAACTGATTTGATTTTATTAACCTCTTCAACCTCAATTAACATAATGACCCCTAAGACCCCCACGTCCCACACGACCCCCAAGTCCCCACCCGACTCCCATGTTCCCACACGATGCCTTAAGTCCCCCCACGACCCTCATGTCCCCCATCATAACTGATTTGATTTTATTAACCTCTTCAACCTCAATTAACATAATGACCCCTACGACCCCCACGTCCCACACGACCCCCAAGTCCCCACCCGACTCCCATGTTCCCACACGATGCCTTAAGTCCCCCCACGACCCTCATGTCCCCCCACGACCCCCATGTCACCCCACGACCCCATGTCCCCACACGACCCCCAAGTCCCCACACTATATTTCTTACCTAAATGGCCAAGTCAACTTTAAAATAACAAATGTAAAGTGGTTTAAACATTTACAGCAGTTGCTAAATTTTATATTTTAAATCATCTTTATTAGAAGGGTCAGCTGTATTATTAATCACATACCATCCATTCTCTGTTATCCAACTCAATGGTCTGTCCCAGTAATTACATACTATCCATTCTCTGTTATCCATCTCAATGGTCTGTCCCAGAAATCACATACCATCCATTCTCTGTTATCCAACTCAATGGTCTGTCCTAGTAATCAAATACTATCCATTCTCTGTTATCCAACTCAGCGGTCTGTCCCAGTAATCACATACCATCCATTCTCTGTTATCCAACTCAACGGTCTGTCCCAGTAATCACATACCATCCATTCTCTGTTATCCAACTCAATGGTCTGTCCCAGTAATCACATACCATCCATTCTCTGTTATCCATCTCAATGGTCTGTCCCTTGTATATAGGCGATGGTCGTTCTGTCTCCTTCTTATCATATTGACCTTTGACCTCGTTGGTGCTGGGCTTCGGGAGTGGTCGGTAGAAGATGGCGAAGAAAACCCCATTGAAAACTAAGGCGGAGATAATCCATGTGGCTGGTGAGTGAACAAAGGGCGATGTAAGGCACAATGAGAAGGAAAACAACATAGTCTACGCCAGTGGTCGGAAAACTCATTGGACCAGAGGTCGGAAAACTCATTAGACCAGTGGTCGGAAAACTCATTTGTCAAAAGAGACAATAAATCAGCAGAAGGACCATAACAATTCTTTTTAAAAGCACAATTTATTTTCAAGGACCTGTCAAGAACAATGTTTTTCGGAGTCAAGACCGATTTGTGACAGACTGGCCAAGCCGCATTCTGGTCGCATTCTGGTCGCATTCTGGTCGCGTGCTGCTCGAGAGCCGCGATTGGCCAACCACTTCTCTAGTTAGTCATCATCCAACATGATATATCTTTTGTCGCTTTAAATTGATTCTGCACGTAATTTGTCTCGTACACAGTAAGATGAAAGATAAAATGTTAACAATTTTAACAATGTAAGCCATTATTTTGATGCCGTATTAAAAAATTAACAATGTTGCATCCAGAAATTTCTATGCTGTTCTCAAAAATTAAAAATGTTTTATCCAAATATTTCTATGCTGTTCTCAAAAATTAAAAATGTTTTATCCAAACATTTCTATGCTGTTCTCATCAATTTAAAATGTTTTATCCAAATATTTCTATGCTGTTCTCATCAAGTTAAAATGTTTTATCCAAATATTTCTATGCTGTTCTCATCAAGTTAAAATGTTTTATCCAAATATTTCTATGATGTTCTCAACAAGTTAAAATGTTTTATCCAAATATTTCTATGATGTTCTCAACAAGTTAAAATGTTTTATCCATATATTTCTATGCTGATCTCAACAAGTTAAAATGTTTTATCCAAATATTTCTATGCTGTTCTCATCAAGTTAAAATGTTTTATCCAAATATTTCTATGCTGTTCTCATCAAGTTAAAATGTTTTATCCAAATATTTCTATGCTGTTCTCAACAAGTTAAAATGTTTTATCCAAATATTTCTATGCTGTTCTCATCAAGTTAAAATGTTTTATCCAAATATTTCTATGCTGTTCTAATCAAGTTAAAATGTTTTATCCAAATATTTCTATGCTTTTCTCAACAAGTTAAAATGTTTTATCCAAATATTTCTATGCTTTTCTCAACAAGTTAAAATGTTTTATCCAAATATTTCTATGATGTTCTCAACAAGTTAAAATGTTTTATCCAAATATTTCTATGCTGTTCTAATCAAGTTAAAATGTTTTATCCAAATATTTCTATGATGTTCTCAACAAGTTAAAATGTTTTATCCAAATATTTCTATGATGTTCTCAACAAGTTAAAATGTTTTATCCAAATATTTCTATGCTGTTCTCATCAAGTTAAAATGTTTTATTCAAATATTTCTATGCTGTTCTCATCAAGTTAAAATGTTTTATCCAAATATTTCTATGCTGTTCTCATCAAGTTAAAATGTTTTATCCAAATATTTCTATGCTGTTCTCAACAAGTTAAAATGTTTTATCCAAATATTTCTATGCTGTTCTCAACAAGTTAAAATGTTTTATCCAAATATTTCTATGCTGTTCTCATCAAGTTAAAATGTTTTATCCAAATATTTCTATGCTGTTCTCATCAAGTTAAAATGTTTTATCCAAATATTTCTATGCTGTTCTCAACAAGTTAAAATGTTTTATCCAAATATTTCTATGCTGTTCTCAACAAGTTAAAATGTTTTATCCAAATATTTCTATGCTGTTCTCATCAAGTTAAAATGTTTTATCCAAATATTTCTATGCTGTTCTAATCAAGTTAAAATGTTTTATCCAAATATTTCTATGCTATTCTCAACAAGTTACACGTTAAAAAGTTGTATCGCAAACATGTCAATTTTGTAGCAAAAAAAAAAAACAACAACAAAAAACATCACCTGTACCCTTCATATCTTCTCAAACAGAATTGTTTTTTTTGTATAACTAAATCATTTAATGAATAAGATATGAAGCAGTTTTATTTCATTTGAAATTTTTTAATAAGTCATAATTAATAGGGTCTCATGTATTGAAAAGTTTTAGAACCATTGCTCTAAGCCATTTAATAATTCCCCCAGCCCCAATCAATGTCTTGAACCCTGCCTCCGCCCATCTTAACTCTGTCTCCAATTGTCAAGTTTGAAATGGGCTTGGAGAGTACTCTACAACTCCCAAGTTTTTTAATGGGCTTGGGGAAGACTCTACAACTCCCAAGTTTGAAATGGACTTGGGGAGGACTCTACAACTCCCAAGTTTGAAATGGGCTTTGGAAGGACTCTACAACTTCCAAGTTTGAAATGGGCTTGGTGAGGACTCTACAACTGCCAAGTTTAAAATGGGCTTGGCGAAGACTCTACAACTCCCAAGTTTAAAATGGGCTTGGCGAGGACTCTACAACTGCCAAGTTTAAAATGGGCTTGGCGAGGACTCTACAACTCCCAAGTTTGAAATGGGCTTGGTGAGGACTCTACAACTCCCAAGTTTGAAATGGGCTTGGCGAGGACTCTACAACTGCCAAGTTTGGTAGGTAGTGGCGTCACTCTGTTCGAGATGCGTTATAATTATTGCCTCTGTTTTTATTATTTCCTTTTGCTGTTGAAGGCATTTAGTCGATACTTCTGTTTTGTTTGTGATCTGTCAGATGTTCCTCTATTCTGTAAGTTACACCTCCCCCCCCCCCCCCCCCCCCCCCGCCACAGCTTCGGAACTGCATCCATTCTACACAAACCCTCGGAGCGATCTCCCCTTTCATGCAGACCACATCATCCATAACTTACCTCCCCTCCAGCCGTATTCATGTAAGAGAAACTCTGTAAAGGGAGCGAACAGAAAAGCACCGATGCCAGAGCCACAACAGGCGATGCCTGTAGCCAGCGCCCGGCGTCTCTCGAAGTAGTAGCCGACCATAACGATAGCAGGCAGGTACATCAGACCAAATCCGATACCTAATGAATTGGAATCAAACAGTTTTAGTGTACCGCTACATTGACTATGATATCTTTATTGTGGATTGAATCATTTATTGTGATAGCTTTATTGCGGATTGAATCATTTATTATTATAGCTTTATAAAAGGAATAATTTATAATGATAGGTTTATTGTTCATGAAATCATTTATTTTGATATCTTTACTGTAGATTGAATAATCTATCATTTTATGATAGCTTTATTTTTTATTTAACATAAACATAAATAGTTATGGTTTTGTTAATAAAGTTTTGTGGACGACCTCATGAGAGTTTTTTTTAGACATATCATAAACTTTCATTATAGATTAAGATACTAAATTAAAATACATTATATTAAGATACTAAATTAAAATACATTATGAATGTACACTTTGGAAATCCTGTGAATTTCGTAGCTTTATTTAGTGAAAATGGTAAGGTATTTAAAACACATGTATTTGTAAGTCCTTTGAAATTCTTTATCATTTAAAAATTAACCAATCATATGCGTCCCACAAGCCGTTTGAGTCCATTATTTACTTGAATTAAATAATCATTTTTGAAAGGGTCTCACAAAATATTTTTTTTTATATTTAAAAAAATTATTTATTATCAAAATATTATTTAAAACAATGTTAAAAAATAGAACGATTTTCAGATTAAATATTATGCATAAATAATTAGCCGGTTTTTAGTTTTAATTGTGCGCATTGCCACAAATAACCCTTCTTACCGCCGAGAAACCCGTATGTAAATATTAATACACCAATGCTGTTAGAAAATGTGCTGATGAAGAAGGCGATGAACGACAAGATGGCGCCGCTCATGGCAACCGCCCGGCACCCGTACATGTTGACAAGGGCGCTAATCAAGGGGCCTGCACAAGAAGAAAAAGATAGCTGAGTTAACGAACATTTTAAAAATAAAATCCTTTTCGACTCGATTTTCTCTTTAAGTTCTAGGGTTTTAAACCTACTGATCAAACGACACTCTGGGACTTATGGCTCAATTAGATTGGTCACGTAGTAGGTCCCATAAGAGCTCCACCAGAGCCACCCCTGCTCCAACTGCTCGAGGTCTCAGATATTTAATTAAGGGGCGCAAAGTTTAGATGAGGACACAAAATAAACGATCAAATCTTTAATGGCGGCCTCCAGAGGTCACGTGACGGCTCTGATCCAATCCTACTTTGTGGTTACAATGAGCAAACATTGGTCACATCGATATTTATTCATTTGTTTTGTTGTTGTACGAGACCATTAGACCTTGAGTCTGTGAGACCTTGAGAGTTTGGGACCTTGAGACTGTGGAGCCTTGAGACCATGAAAACTTGACACATAGAGACCTTGAGACCTTAAGACCTTGCGACCATGAGACTTTGAGACTGTGACACCTTGAGACTGTGGGACCGTGAGACTGTGGAGCCTTGAGACCATGAAAACTTGAGACCTCGAGACCGTGAGACCTTAAGACCTTGCGACCATGAGACCCTGAGTCCGTGAGACCTTACATTTGCTTGAGCATATAATACAATACAAATATCTAACAACTCATTTGCAAATAATGTGTGCCACGATACAAACAGCCGAGAAATATCAACGGCTTGTTAGTGTGCTGAATATAAGATAAGACCATGGTTACTGTAACAAATATAATATAAGAGCCTGGTTACTGTACCAAATATAATATAAGAGCCTGGTTACTGTACCAAATATAATATAAGAGCCTGGTTACTGTACCAAAAATAAGATAAGAGCCTGGTTACTGTACCAAATATAATATAAGAGTCTGGTTACTGTAACAAATATAAGATATGACCATGGTTACTGTACCGAAAATAAGATAAGATCCATTGAGTACAGATCCAATCCACGACGTCTCTCCCTTGTTGGTGCCAAATTCTTCTCGGAACTCATCGAAGAAAATTCCAAAGGAGAAGCAGACGCCGTCCACGAGCAGACTGATGGAGAAGGAGGAGAGGACGACCACCCAGCCCCACCCCCCGTCAGGTGGCGCCCCCACGCGTTGCTTCTGGTTGTACATCTTGACATTTTCTTCATCGTGTGTAGTTCCTTGGCTTATGTCAGCATCTTCTCCCTTGTCGGTCATCTGAAATGAAGAGTAGAAGATGTCTAAGATTATTGTATCAGAGTGGTTAGGACAATGGAGTTGGAGTTGAACATTTCCTAGACCATTGACAGGTAGAATTAGTTTGACAAAGGACAGGTAGAATTAGTTTGAACATTGACAGGTAGAATTTGTTGACAGGAAGAATTTGTTGGTATCATTAAGACATAAGTGGGTCGGATTAAAAAAAAAATCACGAGAAAATAACGATGCATGTGGTAATGTGATTTGTGTGGTTATGTGATTGTGTGGTTATGTGATTTGTGTGGTTATGTGATGTAAGTGGTTATGTGATTGTGTGGTTATGTGATTTTGTGTTATGGGATTATGTGATTATGATGTTATGTGGTTATTTGGTTATAATTTTATGTGGCTATGTAGTTATTTGAATATATTGTTGTATGTTAGGTTAGAGTTCAGGGGTGTAGTAATTCTAAGACTTTTCGGAATGACAAGGTTGAAAAGAGCTAAAGATAAATAGAAAGATGTTATTCAATGAAACTGTGTTAAACGTATATTCTGTTTCTGTAACAGCAAAAAGTAGAATGCCAGGGATGACATGTGCATTTTTTTTAAACATTACACTACAAGTAGTGCTTTGTGCTTCTTATAGTTGCAATAATAGGTTCTTCCAGTAGTTGTATTAATATGTGCTTCTTATAGTTGCAATAATATGTGCTTCCTGTAGTTGTATTAATATGTTCTTCCTGTAGTTGCAATAATATGTGCTTCCTGAAGTTGCAATAATATGTGCTTCCTGTATTTGCATTAAAAAGTGCTTCCTGTAGTTGCAATAATATGTGCTTCCTGTAGTTGCATTTATATGTGCTTCCTGTAGTTGCAATAATATGTGCTTCATGTAGTTGCAATAATATGTGCTTCCTGTAGCTACATTAATATGTGCTTCCTATAGTTGAAATAATGTGTGCTTCGATGCTGCTTGTTAGCTAACATTAATAATTGTCACAATTTCAACATTTTTCTAATTGCCAGTAGTATTATGACAGTCTCACACACGCAATAATTACATTTAAAAATAAAATATGGTTTTTGTTAAAACTGGGAAAATATCTGTCTACACATATTCGATCAATATATGAAAAAATAACTACATTTGCTCTCAATACATTTAATATCAGACTAGAAACCGACCGAATTTCGGCTTCGGTTTCGGCCGAACGTGGCCATTTTATCCCTTTCGGCCAAGTTTCGGTTTCGGCCGAAACTGAAAAGTTAAATTTCGGCTTAATTTCGGTTTCGGCCGAAAGAAAAAAGTTAACTTTCGGTTTTTCTTCGGTTTCGGCCGAAATTGACATAGACTTTTGGCCATCGGGCTGAAAGTGACTCAGGTTTTCAGTCATTTTAATACTCAGTGAAAGCGATAGTTAACAACAACTAAGCCACATTTAAGAACAAATTAAGCGATCTTTGAGAACAAACTAAACGATATTTAACAACAAACTAAGGGATCTTTAAGAACAAGCTAAGCGATCTTTAATAACAAACTAAACGCTCTAAAAGAACAAACTAAACGATTTTTAAGACCGAAATAAATTATCTTTAAGAACAAAACAAATGATCTTTACTACTAATTATTACTACAATTATTTCTAAATGAATTATAAGAATAAACTAAAAGTTCTTTAACAGAAAACTAAATGTTCTTTAGGAACAAACTAAAAGATCTTTAAGAACAAACTAAGCAATCTTTAACAACAAACTAAGCGATATTTAGGAACAAACTAAAAGATCTTTAACAACAAACTAAGCGATCTCTAAGAACAAACTAACCGATCTTTATAAATAAAAAACTAAGCGATATTTACAACAAACTAAGCGATCTTTAACAACAAACTAAACGATCTTTATGAACAAACTAAAAGATCTTTAAGAACAAACTAAGCAATCTTTATGAAAAAACTAAGCAATCTTTGCAACAAACTAAGCGATCTTTAACAACAAACTAAGTGATCTTTATGAACAAACTAAAAGATCTTTAACAACAAACTAAGCGATCTTTAGGAACAAACTAAGCGATCTTTATAAATAAAAAACTAAGCGATATTTACAACAAACTAAGCGATCTTTAACAACAAACTAAACGATGTTTATGAACAAACTAAAAGATCTTTAAGAACAAACTAAGCAATCTTTATGAACAAACTAAGCAATCTTTACAACAAACTAAGCGATCTTTAACAACAAACTAAACGATCTTTAACAACAAACTAAACGATCTTTAAGAACAAACTAAGCGATCTTTAACAACAAACTAAATGATCTTTAACAACAAACTAACTGATCTTTAACAACAAACTAAGTGATCTTTAACAACAAACTAAACGATCTTTAACAACCAACTAAACGATCTTTAACAACAAACTAAAGGATCTTTAACAACAAACTAAACGATCTTTAACAACAAACTAAACAATCTTTAACAACAAACTAAACGATCTTTAACAACAAACTAAACGATCTTTAACAACAAACTAAACGATCTTTAACAACAAACTAAACGATCTTTAACAACAAACTAAACGATCTTTAACAACAAACTAAACGATCTTTAAGAACAAATTAACCGATCAATAATAACCAACTAAACGATCTTTAAAAACAAATTAAGCGATCTTTTAGAACCACATTTTTTAGAGATCCTGTTTTAAAATTAAAATATTTTGCATTAATTCCCCCCCCCCCCCTTCTTTCCCAAATTTTCTCCTACCATACTAATTTTAAAAAAAATGTAAAGCAATTTAAATTACTTTTATATTAAAATGGTAAATTCCAAAGTATTCATTAGATCAAGGGTCTCAAACTCAAATCATCAGGGGGGGGGGGCGGGTGGTAGTGTCTGAATGAGAGTGGGCCGCATCAAGTAATCCACACAAAAAAGCGATTACAACTGTGACAATCTGCTCAACCCTTATAAATAACAATAAAATCATTAAGGGTTTTCAAGAACTACTCACTGTTGCCAGAGACCTGGCATACAAAAATATATACAAATATTAAAAATAAAAAAAATCAGAATTAGACTAGTCGGTGAGATTCGACTGAAACGGTCGCGGAGAGTCACGTTATAGAAATGAGAATGGGGGAAACGGGCCGGCGCATTTACACTAAACTTTTCTGTCATGTAGCGGGCCGCAGAATATCGTCTTGCTGGTCACAAATGGCTCGCGGGCCGCGAGTTTGAGACCCTTATATTATATGGTTATTTATTAATATTCACGATTATCCCATTTTTTATAAAAAGAATGTAAATATTTATACTTTCCCACATCATTTTCGATGTATGAAGAATGTATGCGGGAACGAATTTCAAAATATCGTAATATTTCATTTTCGGTTTCGGCTTCGGTTTCGGCTTCGGTTTCGGCTTCGGTTTCGGCCAAAATTTATTTTTAACTTTCGGTATTTTTTCGGTTTCGGCCGAAAGTCATTTTTAAACTTTCGGCATTTTTTCTGTTTTTGCCGAAAGTCATTTTAAACTTTCGGCCTATTTTCGGCTTCGGCCGAAATCAGAAAATCCCTTTCGGTCGGTCTCTATATCAGACTATACATTTACTACAAATCAATAAGTTCTTAAGGCAAATGATTGTAAAATCTTACATTGACTTCTGTTCTGAACACACACATGATCCACCTCTTTATTTTAAGCCAGGGAAATAGCTCCACACATTTCGGCAGACGATTGTAAAATGAGGCGCCTTAGAAGAATGCAATCGAGCGGATTTATTGCGGCCTAATAAAATGTTATATTTTTTTTATTTGTTGTGTTGTTTAAAAGATAAAATTTAAAAAAAACAACAATGATACGATCTGCATATGGTATTAGTGGATTCCCCCATTTTTTATCTTAAACTGTAAGCGTTTATAAATAATCTCCTGTAGCTTAAATTGCGTGAGACGTGACTTCGCGACCCAAATTTTATAAACAAATCTATTTGGCTCTAGACATAATCCATTATCCACTTCATACAGAGGGTGGGGGCCTGACCTACTTAAAAAATTATATCAAACTTGTCCTCATCAGGCACAGAGACAGTGCAGATGCCTGTACATACATCGGAGCCAGAATGGTCAATACATGGCTCGTTGGCCCTTACATGGATCATTGGCCCTTACATGGCTCGTTGGCCCTTAATATTTGCAGGAGGAAAGTATGATTGATTAATTGTTAAAATATTAATCATGTACATAAGTTTTGTTCTAATTCTATGGAAATTTAATGAAAAGGGGGGGGGATCTTGGGGGAGGGGGGTTGATTTCGACCATAGACATCGTCTACATAGTCCGGCAAATGGTTCCTGGCAGTTTATACCGAAATGTCTGCTTTAAAATTTAAATTAGGGTACATAATGACTGCAATACAGCAGTTCTGCATAATGACTGCTGCAACAACAGAACTACATAACCTCTACAACAACGTCGCCACAAGTAAAATATTAAACTATGAACATCAGGAGACGTGTATAATGAATTTTGTAATTTTTTTATATTGGACACAATTTTAAACAACATATTTATTTCAACAGAAACCATTGAAGTAATTCTTCCAATTGGATAATCATCATCAAGGTATACCACAATCTACAAGATATGTTTGCATAAATAGTTGCAAAAGATATGTTTACATAAATAGTTGTCCCTAATATGTTTACATAAATGGTTGAAAAAAGATATCTCTACATGAATAGTTTGACTTGGTATGTGTATATAAATATTTGAACTTGATATGTTCACATAAATAGTTGAACTTGATATGTTTACATAAATAGTTGAAAAAGATATGTTTACATAAAAAGTTGAAAAAGATGTTTTGTAGCTATATTACGAGCTGACCTTCAATATGAACTGCTCCATTTTGAAGGGAGTAAAATAATAAATAAAAAATATTTGAAGTCACACATTTTAATGCTTCTTTGGAGTTGAACTCATAGATATTACACTTGACATTTCCCATAACAGTACACATAACATTATACATGGCATTTCACATAACATTAGCCTATACATGAAATTAAAGATAACATTATACTAAAGACTACAAATAACATTATACATAACATTACACATGACATTAACATTGCTTATGACATTTCGCATGACATTGCACATGAGATTACAGATGACATAAAACTTGTTGAAGATTAGGAGGGAATAATTTAGCTCAAATAATATTGATGGGTGACTCCAGCTTAAGCTCTGGTCACTGGAGCTTATGCAATTCATTTCACTATCTTGCAAAGAGGAAGGTTGTTAAGGAGAGGAAATTTGTTTAGAAGAGGATTGTTGTGAAGAAGAGGATGGTTGTTAAGAAGAGGATTGTTGTGAAGAAGAGGATGGTTGTTAAGAAGAGGGAGATGGTCAAGAGGATGGTGGTTAAGAAGAGGAAGAGTGTTAAGAAGAGGACATTTGTTAAGACAAGGGAGATGTTTAAAAAGAGAAAAGTCAATAAGAAGACAAAGGTTGTTGAGATGAGGAAGATTGTTAAAAAGAGGATGGTTGTTCAGAAGAGAATGGTGGTTGAGAAGAGGATGATGGTTGATAAGATCCTTATTTCATATCCAATATTATAATTGCTGTATACTCGTTTATCCAGGATGGCCAACTTTGCCCTAAGCAAACATAAAATTAGCATACAACTGAGGACACCTTTTTAAATGATTTAACTTTTGTGATGAAAACTTAAACCAGCAATTGACCCATCATTCGGTGACCAAGCTCACGCGTCACTAAACTTTAACTGACCAGTGAAGAAGTTGAACATACACACCAAAAAAAGACAAAAAGTGACATTTTTGTTAAACATTTAAAAAAAATAATTTTGCTTTGACATAAATACCGTTATGATATATACTTCACTTTAATATTTCATTGTTAAGAATATACAATTAGAGGATTGTTTAAGAATATATTAAGGCAGAGGATTGTGGAAGTCTTTTAAGAAAGAGGATTGTTTAAGTATATTAAGTAAGAGGATTGCGTAATTATATTAAGGAAAGTGATTGCGTAAGTATTTTAATGAAGATGATTGGGCTATCTAATATTGCCTGAATGCTTAAAATGGGTGAAGATTAGGGTGGGGGGGCAGGGTGTCTGCGTTCATCATAAGTTTGTGGTTGCAAGGGGCGGTAGTTTCAAAGGGGCGGTGCTTGCAAAGGGGTGGTAGTTGCAAACAAGAAATCGTTTTTTTTTCTATTTTTAGTTTGGCCAAAGATAACTTTGATCAATTTAAAAGTTTTATTATCATGCTATCACACTATCTTTGTTTATTTTCATGTTATTTTACTATCTCTGTTAATGATCATGTTATCACGCTATCTTTGTTAATTACGATATTATCTTACTATCTTTGTTTATTATCATGTTATCACACTATCTTTGTTAATTATCATGTTTAAAACACTATCTTTTCTATTTTCATGTTATTATACCATCTCTGTTAATAAAAATTTTATCACACTGTCTTTGTTAATTATGATATTATCACACTATCTTTGTATATTATCATGTTATCATACTACCTTTGTTTATTTCTAAAAGAGCTGTACTTTGTATTTATTATAGTTGTCATTAATTGTTTCTAACCATTGTGTTCTTTAAGATGCCATGAACCTGGTCAGGAGAGTTCATCAGATGTAAAGTCACGTCGCGTCCATTGTGTCTATCAACGGTGTATAACACAATACACTGTCAATGTATTCCTATGGCTTAGGACGGGGCAGTGGTTCTCAAACTTGGTGCATTCAAGTTTTTAAACTATTTCCTTTTCTGGACCCCAGTAATTAAATTTATTTAAACTTCTCTGGAACCCAATATTTAATTTAATTTATCTTTTTTAGGACCGAGTAGTAAATTTTGTTTAAATTTAAGAGATTAATAATATTTTTTTTCTTGGTGCCCCAGAATTAACTTTAATTTAATTTTTTTTTTAATTAATTTTTTCCCCATGCATTTTATAAGTGATTTTCTATAAGTCGTAGATTGTTGGCTGTATCAGCACTTGTTCATACGACATTATACTAGAGTCATTACATAAATACTAGAGTCATTACAACAATGCTAGAGTCATTATAACATTCCTGTAAAATTCTTACCTTGAGAAATATTCCTTAAATCTCAAGAAAAACAGCCAGGCAGAATTCTGCTAGTCCGTCAAAGCAATGTACCAACAGCCAACAGGCAGAATTCTGCTAGTCCGTCAAAGCAATGTACAAACAGCCAACAGGCAGAATTCTGCTAGTCCGTCAAAGCAATGTACCAACAGCCAACAGGCAGAATTCTGCTAGTCCGTCAAAGCAATGTCCCAACAGCCAACAGGCAGAATTCTGCTAGTCCGTCAAAGCAATGTACCAGCAAATAAACAGGCAGATTTCTGCTAGTCTGTCAAAGCAATATCTTAACAGCCGACTCACTATCTCAGGCGAGAGTTTAACACCCCCAACTCGTTGCTACGATAACAAGACCATTTTAATTGGTCTGTTAGTAGTCCAGATAACTGACGTGGGTCAGAATTCTTCAACTCGCTAATCAATTTTTTATAGGCGTAGAGTTGACGGGAGGACACATTGTGTACACCATATCATCGCTTTTACAAATGGCGCATACTAGATTGATCGTGATACTATCCCATAAGGACCCCGGGGGGGGGGGGGTACTAATTATCGGTACTTTGTTATGTCTCAGAAAAGGCCGCTCATAAAATGGCTGGGGGGGGGGGGGGGGGGGTACTAATTATGGGTACTTTGTTATGTATCAGAAAATGCCGATCACTAAATGGCTTTAAAAAATGCCTATTACATAATTTTACACAAAGTTTACTTTAGATCTAAGACTTTAAATGTGTTTGAAATTGTACAAAGAGTTGATGACTTGTGCTTTAAAGTCATTTTTGGAAAGTTAGTGAAATTAAACAAGGTAGAGGGGGAAAAAAGTTAAATAAAACCCCATGTTAACAACACAATTTCAACTTGTACATCAATGTTCATGTACATCAAATTTTATGTACATCAATTGTCATGTACATCAGTTTTCATGTTGTGCATCAATGTTCTTGTACATCAATTTTCACATACATCAATTTTGATGTTGTACATCAATTTTCACATACATCAATTTTGATGTTGTACATCAATTTTCACATACATCAATTTCCATGTTGTTCGCCTTTCGCATGTGACGATGACCAATAGTTTGTATTGACCAGTCAGTCTGCCTCGCCAGCATGTACAACAGTTTTCGTGAAGGTTTAACCACACATCTCCACCCACCCCCCTCTTCTAGCTTTAAACGGAACAAACTGTTTTGAGATCGAAATGCGTTTAATTGTTTGATTTCATAGGTGGCCTTCTTTAACAAAAACATTCATTAAGATGCCAAACTTAACTTCCAAAGTTAGTGCTTAAGGATCAATTTTTAAACGGTTTATTTACAATCTCACTCGACTTTATACCTGTATACAAACAATTTTTCAAAGTATTATTAACAACTTTTTTAAAGAATAGCAGACGATTTGCTGAATGCATACACGTGTAAAGATGTTACGGTTTAGATCAAGGTGTGTGTGTGTGTGTGGGAGAGGGTGGGGGTTAGACGCGTTCAGTATAGAGTAGATCAAAGGCTAAAGATCAAAGGCTAAAGATCAAATGCTAAAGATCAAAGGCTTAAGATTAAAGGCTAAAGATCAAAGGCTAAAGATCAAAGGCTAAAGATCAAAAGCTAAAGATGAATGCTAAAGATCAAAGGTTAAAGATCAAAGGCTAAAGATCAAATGCTAACGATCAAAGGCTAAAGATCAAAGGCTAAAGATCAAAGTCAGACGAAGTTGTTAAATTATCTATTAGTAGTAAGAAAAAGTACAATTTAAAGAACACAGTCATGAGTAACCTTCATAATTAATTTGTTCTTATTAAACTGTCAGACAATGAAAGTGTCAGAAAATCAAACTGTCAGACAATCAAACTGTCAAATAATGAAAGGCAATCACACTGTCAGAATATCAAACTGTCAGACAATCAAACTGTCAAATAATTAAAGGCAATCACACTGTCAGATAATATAAGACAATGAAGATGACAGACAATATAAGATAATCACTGTCAGTCATTATAAAACAATCAAACTGTTAGATAAAGAAGACAATCAAACTGTCAGGCAATGTAATACAATCAAACTGTCAGGCAATGTAATACAATCAAACTGCCAGACAATAAATGCAATCAAACTGCCAGACAATGTAATGCAATCAAACATCCAGGCAATGTAATTCAATCAAACTGTCAGGCAATGTAATGCAATCAAACTGTCAGACAATGTAATGCAATCAAACTGTCAGACAATGTAATGCAATCAAACTGCCAGACAATGTAATGCAATCAAACATCCAGGCAATGTAATACAATCAAACTGCGAGGCAATGTAATACAATCAAGCTGCGAGGCAATGTAATACAATCAAGCTGTCAGACAATGTAATACAATCAAACTGTGATGCAATGTAATACAATCAAGCTGTGAGGCAATGTAATACAATCAAGCTGTCAGACAATGTAATACAATCAAACTGTCAGACAATGTAATACAATCAAGCTGTCAGACAATGTAATACAATCAAGCTGTCAGACAATGTAATACAATCAAGCTGTCAGGCTCAAAGTTTCAATAACATTTAATGTGACCATATTTTTCCGTCAAGAAAAGAAGATGTCAATCATTGAATGAATTCGAGCCACTTTAATCTTACATGTATGCCTGGTGATTGTAAGATTGAACATGTATACCTGATGATTGTAAGATTGAACATTTATACATGGTGACTGTAAGATTGAACATGACCAACAGTTGAATGGAAATCAAGTGACCTCAAGTGACTTCAAGTGACCTCAAGTGACCTTAAGTGACCTTAAGTTACCACTGACCAGATGACCTAGGACCGAGATTTTTGTATGGTTGATGAACAATTTTCCTCCAACATTGTCATCAGACAAGCAGCAGACACAGACACAAGCAGCAGCCACAGCCACAAGCTGCAGACACAGACACAAGCAGCAGACACAGACACAAGCAGCAGATACAGACACAAGCAGCAGACACAGACACAAGCAGCAGACACAGATACAAGCAGCAGACACAAGCAGCAGACACAAGCAGCCACAGACTTAAGCAGCAGACACAGACTCAAGCAACAGAAACAGACTTAAGCAGCAGACACAGACTCAAGCAACAGACACAGACTCCAGCAGCAGACACACGCAGCAGACACAGACTCAAGCAGCAGACACAGACTCAAGCAGCAGACACAGACACAAGCAGCAGACACAGACACAAGCAGCAGACACAGATACAAGCAGAAGACACAAGCAGCAGACACAAGCAGCCACAGACTTAAGCAGCAGAAACTACCTCCTCCCCCCCATCACACCAACAGCTTATGGTGACCATTTGTAGGCCAAATAACAATGAAATGGAAGACAAGTGCAACTAATATAAAAGATTTCATAAACGAGTCCCTGATAACTTATTTACGCTCTCAACACAGATATGACTTCACACTTTTCCGGGTATGTGCTGGAAGTCATTCATCAAATTGTCACGGTGACCTTACAAGGGGAAAGGAGACACGCACCTAAGATGTGAACATCTATCAGTGGTTCTCAATCGTTCATCAAATGGTCACCGTGGTATTACAAGGAGAAAGTAGGCACGCGACTGAGATGTTAAGAACTTCTAGCGGTTCTCAGTCATTCACTTTTGTTGAAAGCAACATTGGTTCAAATAAAGCGAATCATAGTGACCATGCCAAATCTCTAAGCTCCATGAAGCTAGTGAGACGAGCCTGTGACCATGCCAAATCTCTAAGCTCCATGAAGCTAGTGAGACGAGCCTGTGACCAAATCTCTAAGCTCCAATGAAGCTAGTGAGACAAGTCTGTGACCAAATCTCTAAGCTCCAATGTAGCTAGTGAGACGAGCCGGTGAGCAAATCTTTAGGCTTTAATGAAGCTAGTGAGACGAGCCTGTGACCAAATCTCTAAAGTCCAATGAAGCTAGTGAGACGAGCCTGTGACCAAATCTCTAAAGTCCAATGAAGCTAGTGAGACGAGCCTGTGACCAAATCTCTAAGGTCCACGGCTCAGAACTGACCAGGACAAACTATGAATCAAACACCCGATCATGTGTGTTCCATCGTTTGTGATTTACGGCTTGAAATGAAAATGCACATTATCTTTTTGAGAACCAATATATTTTGAAATAAAACAATACTTACCCTGTATTTAAATGAATGAACTGTTGACTCTAGCCTTGTCTTTTGTACCGTATTTAACTTGCTTACTTTACTGTTGTCTCTAGTGCAGTAGTTATATTTAATTTTGATTTTTTTTAATGGCAGTAATTCCCCCCAATTTTTCCTGTTTGAGCAGAAACCACAAATGACAAGTGTTTGATGAGAACGACCAAACATTGGACTCGTCCGGAAACACAGGCTAGGCAAGGATTGATTGAATAATTGATTGTCGGCAGCATTTCCATTCAAATATTGATATTTTGGAGAGACTGAGGTCCTCAGTTTTATTAATTTAATTGATTAAAATTGACCTTAAATATATTAATATTTTGGCTTCAGGCGAATAATGATTTTGGTTCCGCCAACGAGGCCAAACATGTTCCCTTAATTTTAAATGATTTGCTAATTAATAGAAACCATCAATTGTTCACTTAGTGACCTAGTGGTCACAACTAGGGCACAAACCATCAATTGTTCCCTTAGTGACCTAATGATCACAACTAGGGCACACACAATCAATTGTTCACTTAGTGAACTCGTGGTCACAACTAGGGCACAAACTATCAACTGTTCACTTAAAGACCTGGTGGTCACAACTAGGGCACACACAATCAATTGTTAACTTAGTGAACTCGTGGTCACAACTAGGGCACAAACTATCAATTGTTCACTAAACGACCTGGTGGTCACAACTAGGGCACAAACCATCAATTGTTCCCTTATTGACCAAGTGGTCACAACTAGGGCACAGACCATGAATTGTTCACTTAACGACCTTAACGGAAGGGGGGGGGGGGGGTCCTGTAAGTGAGTCTATCAAATGTAAGCCTGTGTGAGCTGAGATTTTTGAGGTCAGCACTTCAGAAAAAAAATTTACTCCTTAAAATGGAAACAATTTCTTTAAAAAAAAGGGGGGGGGGGTGTCGGGGAGTTTTCTTGAGGTAGAATAACCAGCGTTTCAGATTCCCTGATTTCACTAGCGGTAACTAGTTGGCCTGTCGTTGGCACAATGGATAAGGTACATGATCACGGATTGAGGGACTCTGAAGAGTCGTGCGAGAACTGGTCGGGCGTTGCCCCAATC